AGGCTGCAGGTGGAAAATGGCTTACTCTATAGGAAGACTCCCAGCCGAAAGCAGTTAGTCCTGCCTGCCATCTACAAACAAACTGTCCTCTCACACCTCCATGACAACATGGGACATGTTGGTGTGGAAAGAGTCCTTAGCCTAGTAAGAGATCGCTTTTATTGGCCCTTTATGAAGAGAGAGGTTGAGGAATATATCACCAGACAATGTCGTTGCATTAAGCAAAAAAAGCCAGCCTTACCTGACAGGGCACCTATGGGGAGCCTTACATCGAGCTCGCCCCTAGAGCTCGTATGCATTGACTTTCTGCACCTTGAGACCAGCCGGGGTGGGTACGAATACATACTGGTTGTAGCCGACCACTTCACCAGATTCACACAAGCATACCCCACTAAAAACAAGGCTGGAAAGACAGCTGCGGAGCGAATCTTCGGTGACTTCATCCTACGGTTTGGCTATCCAGCTAAGCTTCACCATGATCAGGGCCGGGAGTTTGAGAATGAGTTGTTTAGGACTCTCAGGCAACTGGACGGTGTAAACCATTCTAGGACTTCCCCATACCACCCACAGGGCAACCCTGCAGAGAGGTTCAATCGGACTCTGCTACAAATGCTCAGGACGTTGGGCGAGAAAGAGAGAGAGAACTGGAAAGATCACCTGTCTCACGTTGTGCACGCATACAACTGCACCAAACATGAGTCCACTGGGTTTTCTCCATATTACCTCCTTTATGGTCGCCATCCACGTCTCCCTGTCGATCTCCTCTTTGGGTTGGTAGCTGCACACTCCAAGTGGATATGCAAAACGATGGAAGGAGAAAATGATCGAAGCGTACAAGATAGCCAGCACGAACAGCCAACATTCGAGTGCCAAAGGCACTATTATGACAAACGGAACAGGGGTGTAACCCTACAACCAGGTGACAGGGTTCTTGTTCGCAACGTTGCAGAAAGGGGAGGTCCATGCAAACTGAAACCCTATTGGGAGAAAACTATCTACATTGTCAGAGAGCAGGTTGGTGACAACCCAGTTTATAAGGTCAGCCCTGAAAACAGAGGTCACCATACTCGCACCCTCCACAGAAATTTGTTGCTTCAAGTTAATGATCTACCAGCAGACATTACAGATGATCGCATGCCTGATAGACCGCCAAGGGCAAAAGGAAAGTCAAATCAGCCACATGAAACGGTCGACCAAATAGAGGCTGGTGATGTAAGTGGATCTGAAACAGATGAGGAGGCACCTTGTTACTGGCTGCGGGTACCCAGAGAATCATTAAGGACCAATCGGGACATTCCTAATCAGGTCCCAGTGAGCGGGTCATTGGTTAGTCCTGAGACACCTGGTGACATGCAGGGTGGCGATGTTCCTATGGGATCAGAGTTTGACCGAGTGAGTGTAGGAGAGATGGAGCAGGAGAGAGAGAATGACATTTCGCCCCCTGTGGAGGAACCAGAGTTTGGCGAAGAGCAGCTGGCGCCCCAGACCAATGACTCCAGTGAAAACACTCAAGGGTCTCAACCTGAACCTCAGCCCGTACTAAGGAGATCTACAAGGCAGAGGAGACCTGGCCAGATACTGACCTATTCTTCCCTTGGCCAACCAACGTATCAGCCACGTCTTGCTGTTAGTTCTGTGGGTGTACAGCCAGTGTTCTATATGCACCAGTGTCCACAATCGTACTGGCATTCAGTCCAACCCATCCATATTATGCCTGGTGTACACTCCGCTGTCACTTACCCGATCTGCTGCTGAGTTTAAGACGGGCATAGGACCTTGGGTACATATAGTGTTGGGTATTCAGAAAATGTAGAAAATCATTGCACACCCATATGTATTTGTAATTTGTGAGTATATTGAGTGAAGAGTTAAAGTTTGATTCAGAGTTAATGGAAGTTTACACTGTTAATTGCAAGTGTCGGGAGCCACTTTTGGTTTGTAGGGGAGTGTGTGGCACACCCAAAATGCATGGCCACTTTTGTGTTAATCATTTAATTTAATTTATTTAATTTGTTTATCAGTTATTTTCTGTGGCTATTAATATCCAAAATGACTTTGACAACATGACCAACCTAACCAGTGCATTATTTTGTCACATAAACTGTATAGAAGGTACAAAGAAATGGAGCAACACCCCAGGCGGAACTATTATTCCAAGACAGGTGCAACCCGGTTGCTTTAGGGGGATGGACTTCCGCCCACGAGTCAGATGCAATCTGAGAGGCAAACCGAGTGCACTGTCTTCATTGATCCTGAACTTTACCTGTGTTTGCAGGGATTTCTTCTTTGTTATTGTGGCACCATTCCTGGGGCCCGTAACAATTGTATTATTAAGCTCTGCACTTTATAAGGTAAAAATTATAAATTTTGCTTGAGAGCAGTAATAAATATCATAACAGGATTTGGAGAATACAGGACCACATTATTATCTGAATACTGGAGTTAGCAGCACAGGTGTTTTGAATGAGCTGGTTCATGGGCCATACTTATTTTAATTCTAATATCTCACAAATAATCGAGTTTGCTGTTTGGCAAAGGATTTCCAGGAGGTTTGTGCATCAATTTTGGGAGGGTTTTTTTTTTTGTATTTCATTATTTTGCTTCTTGCTAATTAAGTTACTTAGCACTGGATGATAATTTAGAACTCTGACCTAACCACAAATTAGGAATCTGTGCATAGCCATAATTTACCTATCACTGTACAAACAAAAATGTTGTCCTTTTTCATGTGTTTAAAAATGTTTTATAGACAGATATTTTTTAAATACAAGCTTTTGTAGGTTAAGAAAGAAATAGATAAATGTTGAAGATGGATAGAGAGAGACAGAGATAAGAAGTGGGTTTTCTGCGATGGACCTCCTGCTGCAGCCACATCAGTCAATGATCATTTTTGTGACTATGCAACTGGACCCAGACTACTAGCTGCAAACCACAAGAATGACACAGACAGATGTGTTCAAAATTAAACCAGGGGCCCGCTGACCTCCATCGCACAGGGTGGGAGGAGAGGAGGGAGTGAGGCGGATGGCTGAAAGACTGAGATGGGGGAATCTATAGTGTTTATTTATCAGGTAACGTCTTTAAGTTACCTTATTGTTAGTTTGCATGACTTTGTTCCTTCTGGGTCAGAGGGAGGATAGCTGGGTGCTTCTTTTGAAGGAAGATTTTGTCATCTTTTCTTATTTTCTAGACTCCTCCAAAGCATGCACATCAAGTATTACTTGATATGCATGCTTGATTTGCTGCTTGTGTGAGCTCTTGCTGTTTTACATTATATAGAAGTCATCATCATGGATAAGCTGGTGAAGTCAATTGGCAAGCTAGCCAACTAGCACTTTGACCAACATGACATCAGCTAGCGGTTAGTGGATTACTGTTATGAAGCCTTGAGTTCTTGGTGTTTTGAAATCAAATAATAACCATAATTTAGAAATTGACTTCATGTATCGTCATGGACAAATTGCTTCTTACAAAACATGGCACCTAGGTGACAAACCACACATGATAGCTAGTGGAGCCCTTGTTATAAGTTAATCAAGTACGTGCTAATGTTCTCAGTGGTTCTACAGCAGCACTGCTTTTGGCCCTTATGTGGACTTTGTTTTTGAGTCTATGTAGTGAAGGTAGCCTATAGTTAGTTCACATTCGTTAAGCTATTATCAGCTAGTGTTGGTCAGGAACACATCCTTTGGACTGTTGGAGTACTTCACATAGAAATCAATCGACAAGCTGTTAGAGGCAATGTGAGACTCAAGGAAACTCAAATTTTAAAGTTTATTTTAATCTCTTCAGACACTGGCAATAAAAAGCAATTTAAAGTATGTAATTATGTTATGTAAAGCACTTTTAATTTACAGTTGAATGAAAAGAAAGCTTTCACAGGACTCTGCAGTCCTGTTAAAATCTAAGTACACCCCATGATTCAGTAGTTAGTAGAACCACCTTCAGCAGCAATACCTTCAAGTAATTATTTTCTGTATGACTTTATCAGGATTCTCATTGTTGTGGAGGAATTCTGGCCCACTCGTCTTTACAACATTGCTTTGGTTTATTGAGGTTCCTGCACAGCTCTCTTACGGTCCCATCAGAGCATTGCAGTCAGGTTGAGATCTGGACCATTGCATCACCTTAATTCTTTTTCAGCCATTCTGTTATAGATTTGCTGCTGAGTTGGTATCATTGTCCTGCTGCATGACCCAGTTTGGGCCAAGCTTTATCTGTCAGAGCTGACTCTAGAATACTTTGGTATAGACAGAAATTCATTGTCGACTCAATGACTGTAAGCTGCTCAGCTCCTGTGGCTGCAAAACAAGTCCAAATCATCTCCCCTCCTCCACTGTGTGGTATTTGTGCAGATGTGCTGGTTTTGGTTATTGCCAAGCATCTCTACTTTGGTCTCGTCTGTCCAAGGGACATTGTTTCAGAAGTGTTGTGCTTTGTTCAGATTCCCCTTTGCAAACCTAAACTGCGCTGCCATGTTCTTTTCAAATAAAAGAGGCTTTCTCTAGGCAATCTTTCCAAACAAGCTATACTTGTTTAGTCATTTTCTAATTGTAGTGTCATGAACTTTAACATGCTAATTGAGGCCTGTAGAGCCTAAGATGTAGTTCTTGGGTTTTTTGCAGTTTCTCTGAGCATTGCACAGCATTGACCTTGGGGTGAATTTACTGGGACGTCCACACCTGGGAACACTGTTGCATTGTGTTAACACACAACTAAATGCTACAGATAAACTGCCAAAATTTCTGATTTTATAGAGGTGCTTACACTCACTAATGATCAGTTAATCATGGGCATCTGATTAGTGACACCTCACTGCTACTTATGTTGTTAATTCCAATGGAAGCAGTCAGGGTGTACTAGTTTCTCACAGAACTATACAGTGTCCTTTCAAAGCTTTCTTCTTCACAAGACCATAAATAAGAAAGTCAATCCACCTCCCATTCAAACCTTGTTTGAATGGGATTGAACTCTCTCAGTTTGGCATTTAACTGCAGTACCTGCGGAAGTCCAGCAAGGGGCGTGTGGAGGTAGGGATGCCCTGAGCTGGCCAGCTGAGGAAGTGAAACTGAGTGAGCGTCCGGGTCTCTTGCGTCTGCACGTTCTTTAGGTAGAAACTTCGAACCAGGAAGTCGTTACACCAGATGTGCTCCGACACCAGGTTCACCTGGACGAACACACAATAAGAATAAAATCACCCCTGCTGCTGCTGCACACGCACACAGACTCACACCCTCTCACGCACTCATCACCTCATAGATATGGTAGAGGGACGAGCCTTCATCAGGCCAGTAGCGGTCACACTGTTTCTCTCCATCCTCCACCAGAGCTGTCATCATCACGATCACAGTGCATCCATTCTCCCACACCATCTAACACAAAGTACACAGGTGCTGATTAACATACACATTTAAAACCGATCTGATACAAATTATTCACATATGTCTGCACACTGTTCTGATCAGCAGCTAAACTGACCTGCCAGAAGTCAGAGATGGTGTGAGACAGAGGGCCCTGGGTGGCAATGTAGGCCGGCATACGGGGATCGTGCTCGATCTGTAGAAGAGGACAGAAATGAACGGGGGGTCAAGAGTGTGGACAGACACATCTACTGGATGGACTGCATTTTCCTGGGAGACTTATTTTGTTGTTTTTGCTTCATTGACCAGGACCAGACCATTGGGAGAGTCTTTGATCTACAAATGATATTTGGACAATTCCATAATAGTCTGCAAGACCAAAGCTGGCCAGAAGGCCTTAATTTTTCTCTAACAGGACAACATTTTGATTTGCTTAGGTGAAAGTGGAGGGTCAGACTTACTATAGTGCTGGCATTGATGTAGTCTGACCGCGAAGGGTTGATCTCTGCCTTCAGCTTCACCCTTGCGTGGTCATCTAAAGGACAACAGTCACAGAAATAAGTATTCAAAACGTATTTAACTTAAATTTGTGTGTGACTTCAGAGGTCAGACAGGTTGCAATAGCCAGAATAAACTGGTAAAATTCAGATTTGTCAACATTTTATTGAAGTTTTGTGCATGTTCTAACTGTTTCACTTTGAGTAGTCAATTTTTTGAACTGCATTTTCCTTTCGATGGGCGATTATACTAAAAATTCCCTGTAAAAAGTTACCCTGCTCCCTCATATTCTCCATTCATAAGCTCCTCAAAGTACTTCTTTCATCTTTTCAATGTGTTCTATGCATTCGTTAGCACATTTCTCTTTCTTTCTTAATTACCCTAATCTGCTCCACATCCTTGAAACTCTTCTTCTTTTTACTTTGTGTTTGCTACAGCTCTGTATACCTAGTCTCCAAGTATGCCTGTCTAATTTTTATAGATTTTCCTGACTTTCTCTTTGCTATCCTGTTCCCTTGAAGTTTTAGTTTAAGTAAATAAGTAAACAATCTAAGCTAAAAAAAAAAAAAAAAAAGTAAAACCATTACTAATTCAAGCCTAGAATGAGAAACCAGAAATCAACACAGATGCATCTTGATGCATTCTCAATCATCCAGGAAAGTAAATCTCCAAAAAGTTGATTCTGTTCATCTGGACGTAGCATTTTGTGGGAGAAACGTTTCGTCACTCATCAAAGTGACTGCAGGTGTCCCCAATCTTATAAACAGTACATTTGCATAATGACTGAAACCAGCCCACTGAAGGAACAATGGACTGGGAGGTCAGTTCCTTAATCTTAATTATGCAAATTCTCATGACCATTGACCAACAATCACTGACCAAAACACCGGGTCTCTGTGGCTTTTAAACCCCAAAACACGCTGCGCCAAAAACTGTTCCACCCCAAGGATCGGGTCCCCTAACACAGAGTAACATAGTGTACGCTGTTAAGTGCCAGGAGGATTGCCAGGATTTATACATCGGGGAAACCAAACAACCTCTGGCGAAACGGATGGCACAACACAGAAGAGCTACCTCGTCAGGCCAGGACACTCTTTCAAGGTTGAGGAAGTACACATCTTGGACAGGGAGGAACGCTGGTTTGAGTGCGGAGTCAAGGAGGTCATTTATGTGAAAAGGGAAAGACCATCTTTGAATCGAGGAGGGGGCCTAAGGGTACATCTTTCGCCATCTTACAATGCTGTGATTGCGGCCATTCCGCAACTCTCTGTAAATGGTACTCATGGCCATTGATCAATGGTCTTTGATTAGTGGGTTTTGGTCAGTGGTTGTTGATCAATGGTCATGAGAATTTGCATAATTAAGATTAAGGAACTGACCTCCCAGCCCATTGTTCCTTCAGTGGGCTGGTTTCAGTCATTATGCAAATGTACTGTTTATAAGATTGGGGAAACCTGCAGTCAGCTGAGACTGAAGAAGTCACTTTGATGAGTGACGAAACGTTTCTCCCACAAAACACTACGTCCAGATGAACAGAATCAACTTTTTGGAGAACACAGATACACTTAAAATCTTGATATAATTCAATATTAAGCAGCCTCAAACTCTCAGGGTGTTTCAGACAGCTTTTTTGCCCCGTGTTTTAACAGAGCAACTTTTACAGGATACTTAATGCTGATGGGAGTGAAGTTGCTGAGGAACTCACAGGGCACCGAGTCAGGACAGCGATTCTTCTTCACGTTGGTGTCGCTCTGAGCCACGGAGACAGCGCTGGGTTCGGCCTGGTAGGAACACAGAGCCTCCCACTCCTTCAGCAGCCTGTCCTTGTTCCTTAAGTGGTCCTCCATGTAAGCCTTTAGGAGTATAGAACATTCAGTCCTATCTTTCCATTATATGAAGAACCATGTATGTGTTGTCTAGACCTTTTAACAAACTGACCCAAAGTTTAGGATTTTAAAAATAATAAAGCAAATTAAAACTAAATTTATCCCAGTTTTAGAGTAAGCATCTAACACTTTAGATGTGCCCAAACTCATGTGCAGTTTAACTCTGGGAAAAATCTTACCAATGCCAGTATGTACACTGTATATAAAAGCCTTAAACCTGCATTCTTTCTAATGGCCAGCAGGGGGCGCTTGAAGAAGTCTGACTGTATAGAAATCTATTTGAAAATCAGCCTACTTCTCACGTTATTAATGACCTCAGTCAACACTTGTCTAATGTGTTTATGGGCTCAACTGTTATTTTAAGTTTTCTTTAATATAACAATGTTAATTTTGTAAATCAATTTCCATTTTAGAGTAAAATAGAGAATAACGTAGAGTATCCTTCATCCTGTAGCTACCTGGTGATCCTACAACTGAGACAAATGGCGTCAAAAAAATGAAGAGCCAGCAAAATATTTACACACAAGTCCTGTCGTTATGAGTATTTGGCGACTGTTTATAAATGTTTTTAACATCAAAATGAGCAGTGAGGCAAAGATACTCTTTAAGTAAATTTGACTTTATCTAATTTTTCAATTTTTCATAAATCTTCTTGTGAACCTTTTGACTGATCCCTTTCTAAGGTTTTACCTATTAAATTTGGCTTCCTCACTTCCTCACAGCACTTACGTGTCATCGAGTACTAACCAGTATCATGTGACCAGTAGAGATGTCCATGTTGGCCTGAGCTGGCTCCTCACACCAGGAGGGCGTGCTGCTATGGGAGCTGGGGCTTGGCTGGGCGCCGTCGCTGAACTGGGATGAAACGCTGCTCACCCTCGAGTCTGTACCTCCGCCTCCCACTGCACCTCCCGCAACACTTCCTCCACCTCCTCCTCCACTTCCTCCACTTGCTCCTCCACTTGCTCCTCCCACAGCACCTAGGGCGGCAGCTTCAAGGCGTCCAAAGGCACCTTTGGAGGCCATATGCTGGCGACACAGGTCCTGGTGAGCCAGTTATGCATGCACTGTTACACTGCACTCCTCTCACTGTGTTGTGCCTCTTAAGTGTTTATATAGATTTGTATTTGTATAAAGCATCTGAATGGACTATTTTGTCACTAAAAAAGGTGATTGGAGGCAGCTGAGAGAGTTGGGGAAAGCCTCATTTTACATTAAAGCAAGTTACATTAAAGTCAGTTCATACATTGGGAATAAAAAGCAGAACCTGGACATTCGCTTCTCACATATACAGGGAGTGCAGAATTATTAGGCAAATGAGTATTTTGTCCACATCATCCTCTTCATGCATGCTGTCTTACTCCAAGCTGTATAGGCTCGAAAGCCTACTACCAATTAAGCATATTAGGTGATGTGCATCTCTGTAATGAGAAGGGGTGTGGTCTAATGACATCAACACCCTATATCAGGTGTGCATAATTATTAGGCATTATCCTTTCCTTTGGCAAAATGGGTCAAAAGAAGGACTTGACAGGCTCAGAAAAGTCAAAAATAGTGAGATATCTTGCAGAGGGATGCAGCAGTCTCAAAATTGCAAAGCTTCTGAAGCGCGATCATCGAACAATCAAGCGTTTCATTCAAAATAGTCAACAGGGTCGCAAGAAGCGTGTGGAAAAACCAAGGCGCAAAATAACTGCCCATGAACTGAGAAAAGTCAAGCGTGCAGCTGCCAAGATGCTACTTGCCACCAGTTTGGCCATATTTCAGAGCTGCAACATCACTGGAGTGCCCAAAAGCACAAGGTGTGCAATACTCAGTGACATGGCCAAGGTAAGAAAGGCTGAAAGACGACCACCACTGAACAAGACACACAAGCTGAAACGTCAAGACTGGGCCAAGAAATATCTCAAGACTGGTTTTTCTAAGGTTTTATGGACTGATGACATGAGAGTGAGTCTTGATGGGCCAGATGGATGGGCCCGTGGCTGGATTGGTAAAGGGCAGAGAGCTCCAGTCCGACTCAGACGCCAGCAAGGTGGAGGTGGAGTACTGGTTTGGGCTGGTCATCAAAGATGAGCTTGTGGGGCGTTTTCGGGTTGAGGATGGAGTCAAGCTCAGCTCCCAGTCCTACTGCCAGTTTCTGGAAGACACCTTCTTCAAGCAGTGGTACAGGAAGAAGTCTGCATCCTTCAAGAAAAACATGATTTTCATGCAGGACAATGCTCCATCACACGCGTCCAAGTACTCCACAGCGTGGCTGGCAAGAAAGGGTATAAAAGAAGAAAAACTAATGACATGGCCTCCTTGTTCACCTGATCTGAACCCCATTGAGAACCTGTGGTCCATCATCAGATGTGAGATTTACAAGGAGGGAAAACAGTACACCTCTCTGAACAGTGTCTGGGAGGCTGTGGTTGCTGCTGCACGCAATGTTGATGGTGAACAGATCAAAACACTGACAGAATCCATGGATGGCAGGCTTTTGAGTGTCCTTGCAAAGAAAGGTGGCTATATTGGTCGCTGATTTTTTTTTTTGTTTTGTTTTTGAATGTCAGAAATGTATATTTGTGAATGTGGAGATGTTATATTGGTTTCACTGGTAAAAATAAATAATTGAAATGGGTATATATTTGTTTTTTGTTAAGTTGCCTAATAATTATGCACAGTAATAGTCACCTGCACACACAGACCCTAAAATAGCTCAAACTAAAAACAAACTAAAAACTACTTCCAAAAACATTCAGCTTTGATATTAATGAGTTTTTTGGGTTCATTGAGAACATGGTTGTTGTTCAATAATAAATTTATTCCTCAAAAATACAACTTGCCTAATAATTCTGCACTCCCTGTACATCATATTTCCATTTTATTGACTTTAGCGGACTGTTAGAATTTTTATTGCCTATACTGGTTATAACCTTTTGTTATTGCCTATTATTCTTTCCATCTTGGCCATTTATCCAAATATTTCAACGTCCATCTGCTAGCACTATTACTTTCAACTATCAGGTAATTAAAATTTCAACCACATGGTGCCAATGCAGTAACATTCATTGAAATTTCATTTCTGTACACCTGCTGTATCCTGAGGTACGCCCTCACCTGGTACTCCTGGTGGCTGAAGCTGCCTCCTTCTGGTCCCAGACCCAACTTCTTTGCCGCCAGTCGGTGTGCATGGTGGCGCAGGCAGGTGATGGTCATGGCCGCCACCAGGATGCCGCCGATGCAGGCCATGGCCACCAGCATTGCAAACACCCAGCGGGAGCGGGGCTGGACTCTGGTCGCCAAGGGCAAAGACTTCCCATTATTCTTCTGTAACAAGTGGGCAGAAAAAAGCCTAAATTCAGCTTCCTTTTTGTTAGCCTCTGACCACTTGTATCAGCAACAGTGAATACCTACATAACTGATTTTAAGATGAACGTAGATAAATGTGTAAATGCACTCACCTCTCCAACACCGCTCTGCAGCACCTTCAAGCCCGTCTCAGACTCCAGGAAGTTCTTCTCTGCAACTGATTCAACCAGCCAATCAACAATAAACCAAAGTTTAAAGATGCTCCCTCATCAGCTGGCTTTATAAACCTCTGTTAGTGTAAATGATGGAGAAACCAGATGATAATATGTTTTGGATAATAGCAGGAAAAAGTACTTTACACCTGTGATGTTTGTGACACAAAACCGCCTTTGCATCTTTCCTACTTTTTAAGCTTCCTTTCGTCCAGTTTTGTTCTCTTCTTAGTTTCTTTACATTTAAACCCTTTTCATATGTTTTCTTGCATTCTTTCCTCTGTCAGTCCTTCTTTGTTTCACTGTCCTGAACACACTATACAGTTCCTACCTTCCTATTTTTTCTTCCTTTGCTATTTTTTCTTTTTCATTTAGTTTATTCTTCTTTACCATCCTTCCTTTCTCTTTTAATCATTTTTCTTTCTACCTTATTTTTCTTACATTTCTTCCTTCAATTCTTTATTTTTCTTCAAGCCTGTCTTAATTCTTTCCTTTGTCTTTGATTCCTTCCTTTGTTCTTTTGTTCCCTTTCCTGTCTGATCTTCTTTTCTTTTACCTTTCTTCTTTTTTCTTTCCTTCCTTCCTTTCCTTTGTCCTTCATTCTTAAATTTTCTTCCTTTATTTCTTCCTTCCTCCTTCCTTCCTCACTTCCATTCTTCTCTGTTTTCTTCCTCAGTTCCCTTCCTTATCATCCATCATTACTTAGTTCCTCAATTCATCCTTTCTTCATTCCTTCATCCTTCCTTTTCATATTCCTCATCACTTCCTTCCTTCAGTTTCTTTTCTTTTCCTTCACTTCTGCTTTTATTTTTTCCTTCGTTTGTCTTTCCTTACTCACTTTTTTTTGTTCCTTCACCTTTTCTATCCTTCTTTCTTCCTTCCTACCATCCATCTTTCCTACCTCCCTCCTTCCTTAGTTTCTTTCTTCCTTCCTTCCTTTTATCCTACCTTACTTAGTTCCTCAGTTTCATCCCTTATTCCTTCTGTCCTTCCGTTGTCTTCTTCCTTTTGTTCTTTTTCCCTGCTTCCAACATTTCTTCTTTCTTATCTTTTCTTCCTTCCCTTCCTTCTTTCTTCTTTCCTGCCATCCATCTTTCCTACCTCCCTCCCTTCCTCAGTTTCTTCCTTCCTTTCATCCTACCTTACTTAGTCCCTTAATTTCATCCCTTATTCCTTCTGTCCTTCCATTTTGTTCCCCCCTTCCTTCTTTCCTGGTCTTCTCCTCTGTGACTGCTTTGATTGAACACACAGCACTGAAATAACTGAAGCGTTGCAGCGGGCAGCGCTAAAAAGTGAACAGGTGGCGTACCAGCTTTGTCGGCCACATCTGCGGCTGTCAGGTTCTTGGCATTGGGTCTGATCCTGAAGGTGATTGCAGGTCCGACCACACTGCAGAGAGGCAGAGAATGCCCAGCAGGTGAGTTTTACACTGAATTAAAACACCAGCTGAACATAAGTTACCTAATCTAATAGTTTGTGCAACAGGAGAACAAAGAGCACTTTTACTTTTTACAGACACTTTGCAGAAATCTCCTCAGGTCAGTTCTTCTCTAAACGAGTCTCATTTTCTTCTAAGAAGCGAAAATCTGCAACAGCGTCCTCAATATTTTCATGTTTAATTTAATTTAAGTAAAAATGAATGTTTACTCATTCTAGAGCAGCAACCTGCTCTAATATTTACTTTATCCAGATACATGGAAACGATTTTAATATAATAACGACTCTTTGAGATGTTTCTTTGGGATGAACTCAGTATTTTACTTTCAATTTCATTAAAATTACTTACAGTTCTCCTGTATCTGAGGTACAGCGGCGTATTTTTGTGCATATTAATTTTTTTATTGCATTTATTACTTCTTCAATTGAATGGGTTTTTTTTCTGTTGTTCATTGAAATGTCCTGAATAAACTGTAACTGCTACTATTTTATTAAATCTTGTGAAGACATGGAGTTTATGCCGATGTTAATAAAGAAATCCGCTTGGATAAGAAGGAGATTTCTGCAGGCCGGAACTTTCTGCAGGGTCAGGAAGAAGGAGGAGCAGGAGGAGAAGCAGGTCAAAGAATCACTTCCACGAGCAGAAAGTCAGTGCAGCTTGCCGTCCAGCTTCACCAGGTCTGGGGAACCTCATGAACCAAAGAGCGAGGATCCAGAGGCTGAAGCCAGAAAGGACGTCTCCTTTTCTTTTAGATTTTTCGTTCTTATTTTTTGTGCGGGTTGAGGAGCAGTGACGTCCTCGCTCCTACCTGATTCTGATGAAGGAGTTGGTGGAGAGGCCGATCCTCTCCGACAGCAGCTCCAGCAGTCGCACCCCGTCGTTCAGACTGAGGGGGCTGACAAAACACACACATTTAAACACACACATGAACAGACACTCTCTCACACATACACACAGCAGCGTTCAAAGATTTAAAGAAGACCTTTGACCTCTGAATCTGAGTCCATCTGACAGTCACTTTATCAGCTTCTGCTTCTGATTTCCTGATCTGAGCTCAGGGTCGGCGCTTTTACTTTCTTCCTCTTCGTTTGCTCCCTCCTTCCTTCCTGTCTTTAGGTGTCTTTCCTTCTTTTAATTTCAATATCTCAGTTTCTTTCCTTTCTTCATTCTTTTTAATTTTCTTACCTCCTTCCTTTTTATTTCTTCACTTATTTTATTAAGCCTTCCTTACTTCTTTCTAGTTTTCTTCCCTATAGTTTTTTCCTTGTTGTTTATTCAACACAGTTTTCTCTGTTAATCCTTTTGGTTTAATTTCTCTTGACATACATTCCCCCCTTTCCTCGTTTTCCTTTTTCCATTTTTAATACCTCTGTTTCTTTCTTTTCTTCCATTTTCCTTCTGTCAGTTCTTTTACATCCTTCCATTTTCACACTGCTCTGTGTTTACTTATTTCCTTCCTTGATTTTTTCATTTCCTTTATTTCCCTCCTTGTATGTTCAAGTGTTTCCTTCCTGCCTTTTCTTCTTTTAGTCATCAGTTTCTTCTTTGCTTCTTTCTCACAGCACAGAGCAGTTTAATCACTTAAGGACAAGGTCACAGATAATAGCCTTCAACACAACTTTGCTATATATTAGATTATGGTTTTTGTGAACTGTCTGCTACATTTCACAGGAGCAAATAATAACCTTCTTTGGTCACATTACAAGAAATTTTAGACTAATGGATGGACAGCCCTGTTATCTGTCCAGGATGTATCCTGCCTCTGGCCCTAACGACTAGGACTGGCTGAAGCACCACTGCAAGCCTGAAATGGATAAGCAGACAGATGGGTGGAAAGACAGACTGATGGATTGCAAGACTGGTGGTGAATGGATGAAAGGCAGATGGATGGACAGATATCTTTTATTCATTTCCTTCTTTGCTTTCTTCGGTCATTTTCCTTTCTTTCCTTTTTTCCTTCATTCTTGTTTATTTTCTTCCTTTTCTAAATTTCATCACTCCAGTTTCTTCATTTCGCTCCTTCTTTCATTCCTTTCCACTTCTTCTTTTCATTTCTTTTCTGTTCTACTGTTTCTTTCTTTCTTTATTTGTTCAGTTATCTTTCATTATTTCTTTCCAGTCTTCTTTCCTTTAGTTCCTTCCTTTTATTTCAACACCCGTGTCTCTATCCTTTTCTTCCATTTTTCAGTGTTTGTCCTTCAGCATTAGTTGTCCTGCTGCGTCCACATTAGTGAGCAGCATGTGGACTCCTTTCACCACAAACATGAAAGCAACACATAACGAGATGTCTGTCCACTCACACCTTCAGGCGTCCTGATTGGCCAGACACTCAGGAAGCATACCTCTGATTGGTGACGATGTAGCCAAATTCGTCCACCTGACCTACTGGATCCTTCTTCCCCAGTTTGTCCTGATTGACTGTTGTGGTGGGTGTTGCCTCTTTCTGGACTCCCTCTGGTGTCGGAGGCTTGGCGTTGGAGGGTGGAGCCTCCTGGGCAGACATTTTATAGGCCATTGAGCCCTCTGAGACCTGATAGAAGAAGATAAATGAACACATTTGATTGGAAATAGATAATGAAGGAGTATTTTTGCTTATTTACTTGTTGATTTATGAGATTTATAAACAAATTAATTTAGCTTGAAATTATTGCCTTAGATTAATTTTTCTCTAAATGCAGGCAACGTTTTGAGCCCCTGAACAAGAAGAGATTAGCTCTGATGTGACAACCAGAGACTGTGAAGCACTGACAGGCAAAATGTACACGACTGTGTTTTTGCTGTATTCTGATATGTTTTTGTTTTTTTTAATAAACAGATAAACCATCACATCGTTTATGGTGGGAAGCAACGTATTTACCTTCTTTCCTGTAGCAGCATTGTTCCCGTATTTATCTGAAGAATAAACAAAAAGAAAACATGCTGAAGAGACTTTTTTTTCAACCCTTTAAATGCAAATGGTGGACAGGTTTGTTTATCTGATTGGATCTTTACTTTATTGGAGGTACAAATTTCGAATGTGTCCTTCAAAGATCAGCATATCTGTTGATGTTGTTGCCTGTCTGCAGCTTTAAAGAAGGCAGTGAAGTTTGTGATGTTAGTGAAGTGAAAAGATCGACCTTTGGATTCCTTTTGGGCGTAGGAGCTCTCCAGCTGCAACTGCTTCAGAGCAGCGGGCAGATCTTCTTTCTGTTCGGGGGACAAGTCCTTCATGTCGAGACCGTAGTGATCGAGCAGCAGAGCCAGTCTCTGCAGTGAACGCTCTACGAATACAGCACAGAGCACTTTAACCACTGAAGGACACATCTACAGATAACAGCCTTCAACACAGCTTTACTACTGTGGATTTTTTTAATTAGGTGAACTATCAGTTTTTTCCTCTGCTACATTTCACAAGAGCAAAGTTTTGCCTTTCTTTGGTTACATTATAATAAATGTAAGTTAGATAATGGATAGCCCCGAGACAGCCACGTGATCTGTGCAGGATATATCCTGCCTCTCGCCCAATAACGACTGAGACAGGCTCTGAACTGAATAAAGAGTTGGAGGGATGGAACAGGAGTATGGATAGCCCAATGGATGGATGAAAAATGAAAAAAATTGTAAAAATTTACAAACATTTCCCTGAAAAAGGGAAAAAAAAGAGTAAAAAGTGAGCAGAAAGACACACACACACACACACACACACACACACACACAATATTTAAAAAAGAAATACACAAAAAATAAACACGATGGACAAAAGAAATAATGACTTGTCTTCTTTTCTCGTCTCACCATCCAGTTCTGACAGGGCATCGTACTCATCCTGTGCCTTCTTCTCTGCTGGGTCCTGCTGTGCAACCTGGGAAACGTAGTCCTCACCATAGTCCAGAGGGAAGTCCAGCTCCGGGAAAAAGGAGGAAGAAGATGAGGAGGACAGTGAGGATGGGAGGCCAGCTGCTGCTGCTACTGCTCCTCTGTGGCGGGGAAGAGACTGAACAGGTGAGGAAGAGGAAGAAGAAGAGGAGGAAGGAGAAGTGAGGTAAAAGGACACTAGATCCTGGAGGAGCTGCCGGTCTCGGTCCAGAGGACTTCCTCGAGATCTGGAGCGATAGGAGGAGGGATGGAGCGGGAGGGCCGGGTTATCATCCAGAGAGTTGAGGGAGCGCTCCTCCTCCTCCTGGTAGCCGTACTGCTGCTGCAACAACACACACACACACAACAGACATGTGCTGCTTTGGCCACTAGGGGGCAGAGAAACACAAAGGTAGAATAACAATGTATTGCTTTCAGAGATGTTCTGGTTTAAATGTGTCCGGCACATTGGGGATTTCTCCCTGCATAATAAAATATTGCCGCAGGGTTTCAGTAAACTATTTTGAAGTGTTTGTCTGAACATTCCTCCCACCTTGTGGTAGGTGTATGGGTCCAGCAGGGGTGTCTGCATGTGGACAGAAGACCGGGAGGGGTTGAGGACCATGTAGTCCACATACTGCTGCATCATCTTGGGGTCAGCTTGATCTTCAGGACCCTGATCCCTCTGTGGACTGGGGCCCAGCAACCTGGAGGACCTAAGAAATAAAACAGCTCAGTCTTGTCTAAGATGCTACCCTCCCATTTTTAATGATAGTAAAGCTCTTCTTACAGTTTGGGTGACTTCTCATTAAGTTTAGAGTGGGTTTCAACGGTGGGAACTTGGCTCAGCTCTCGGCTGATGATTGCCTGGGTCATGTCGTCCTTCCAGTTAAGACCTGTGCAGCCACATGTAGAAATATCACCAAGAGTGACAGCACAAAGAAAAAAACAACTGCAATGAGGGAGCAAGAATTGCTAAAAGAACAAAATGAAACCATTAAAGAACAAAAAGTGATGATACAAAATGTCCAAAAGGTGACTAGAAGATGCAGAATTACTAAAAAGAACCAAAGGATAATCACAGCATAATACAAATGAAGGCAAAAGGCAAAAATGATGACAAAAAAGATCAAACATCCACTTGCAGATGCCAAATTAATACAGATAGAGAAAAAATGTGTAAAAATGACATAAAATGACTACAACATGACCACAAAAGATACTAAACCACCAGAAAAACAATCTGTAAATATAAAGAGAGATAAGATGAGGAAGGGCAAAATTAGCACAAAGCACCAAAAAAAGCCCCAAATAACTTTAAAAATGGCAAAGCTACATGAAATGGACAAAAAAGGACTACAAAAAGAAAAAAAAGACCACTTAATGACAAAAAGTGATGACTTTAAGACAAAAATAACCAGAACCGATGGCCACAGAAAGCAAAATACAAGAAATAAATCCCAATTAACAGAGGATTTTTTTAGACCAATGGTAATACTGATATGTGGTGATTGTTAAAAACAATCCAATATATCGACAGATATTTTCCTTCTTTCAAACACATAAACAGAGTTCCCTAACATTTGTTATGCATAGTTATTTATTTACTTATTTATGCGAGACTCTGTGATGTTAACGGGGTATTTGCAGCTATGGTGAACCAAATGAGCATTTATTGGCTGTTACAAATGTAGACGTGGATATTTGCAAATACCCAAAATATAGCTCAATTATAACAAATAAAAAAAACTAATACTGAGCCAAAAAATTGTTACACATGCAATGATCACGAAGACATAAAAGAGGAAACCATATTCCCCCCTCTGTTTTAGTGCACATGAGCTGAATTAAAAGTGTGCCGCTGTATTCAGAGACTCACCCTGAACCATCAGGTCTTTGAGGACTTCCTGCAGTTTGTGCAGGACGGGTACAGACACCTGATACTGGACGGGTTCCTGATGAGGAGCCTGGCACTGTCCAAACAAACCATCTGCACAGAAAGAGATTCTACTGTTGCCAAACATGACAGCAACCACAAAACTCCACATATCAACACACCATAAAAAATGTTTGTGCATTTTTAAAGCAGGAGCCATAAGGTGGTTTGTTTGTCTGTCAGCAAAGATCTACTAAACTGAACTTACTGAAGAGGCAGGGCAATGGAAGAACCCATGAAAAATGAAACCAGCAGTTCTTCAATGTCCGCGTCAGCATGGCTCCAAAAGCCAGTCAATCCCCATAGACTCAATAAATTAATTCAATTCAGCTTTATTTATATACCACCAAATCAGAACAACAGTCTCCTCTATGTTCTTTGGCTTGTAAGGCAAAGACCCTACAATGACACAGATGTAAACCCAGCAATCAGTTGCCCCCTATGAGCAAGCACTTGGTGACAATGGGAAGGGAAAACTCCATTATAAAGGAACAGCCAAAAGTAGCTTTACAGCATGGATTACTGTGAGAGCCAATGTTGGCTGTTTTGCCCAAATATGTTCACTTCTAGCCCTAAAAACCCCTACCATGGTGACTAATATAAAGGTGAAATTTTGTGGGCTCCTTCCCGTCACATAGTCCAGTTTGGTACCCATGGACCAGAGGACTGACCTGCTGACCATTAAAAAGAATGTAGGTTTAAGGTACTTCAGCATTGCTTGTCCGTTCACACCCAGAAGCTACATCGGGTTAAACATTCTTTCAATGCTTCAGCATTTTGCAATTTTCTCACTTCAGATTTCTTAGCTTGTGTTTTTCTCAGCTGGGTTTGTTTTGAGCCCTCAGGGCCACCGTACTTTGCAGTTTAAATGCTGTTTTCTTTCCTTGTAGAAGAAGAATGAGAAGAACAAAAACAAGCAACTGCTCTGAGTTTACCAGGACAGCAGCAGCAGTATGAGTGCTCATCAATAATTTACACTACACATGCTGTATGTAATGCATGTAAACACGAACACAGCACATGCACACACACGTGTACACACAAACACACACTTGGCTTCATACACACACACTCACTGTGGTGGTGGTTTTGTGTGTGAGTGTGGGCTGTGGTGAGTCATCACCTCTGTCTCCATCTCACACACACACACAAGGGAGACACACGGTCGTCAGGCAAGTGATGTCACTGTTGTCATAGAGACGGCTCTCAGCCAATCGACCTGCGATTGGCTGGGAGCCGTCTGACGGAGGGAGACCTCGTTTACTCTTTTCCTCTTGCATTACTCTGTTTATCTTCATCTCTTTCTCCATCTTGACGTCGCTTCCCTCACTTCCTGTAAATCTTATTGCCCAACTGACGCAGCTCATAGAAAAATAATTTTTACACTCATCCTTCAGCACAACACTCACAAACATCCATCAGCTGCTCAAATTGAACGGTGACATCTGCAGAGGTGCAGGCAGTTACATGGGTGAAGTTTTTTCTTTTTTAAGATTACAGATGTTACAAGATAAGAAGTGTAACACAAGTTACAAATACTTAAAGCTACAAAAGATGTCTTTGTCTTACACAGTCCTGAATCACATTTAGTAAACTCAAAATGCACAACTACAGATGTTTAAGTGCAGTGAAATGTTCTCTCCCATTGAAGCTTTTAAACAAACATGATCAAAGCTTTAAAGCAGTCTGTCTATTTTTAGTCTTGAAACACTTTTCTTTGATTTCATCACTACAGAGACTGAAAACATATTGCAGATGTTTAAGGACACAAATCTGCATTCAAGCTTTTCCGTCCATCCTTTTTCTACCACTTATCCAGGTTGTGGGGGCAGCAGCCTAATCAGAACAGAGGCTTTCCAAGTCCAGCCAGGAGATGCAATTATTGATCTCTGGCTTTCATCCTGTCTCCCCTTCCTCATCCCCAACCAGTTGCAGTACGGTTGGAGCAGATGACCGTCCCTCCCTGAGCCTGGTTCTCCTTATATGTTTCTTCCTGTTAAAATGGAGTTTTCCTTCCAACTGTCGCCAAGTGCTTGCGCAAAGGGGGGAATTTGATTGTCTGGGTTATTGTAGGGTGTTTACATCACTATATAAAGTGACTTGAAATGACTGTTGTTGTGATTTGGTGCCATATAAATAAAATTGAAATGGATTGAATTAATCCAGCCTGTCCTTGGGCCTGCTCTAGGTCTCGTCCTTTACCAGCACAAGTCCCTACTGTCATCTCCACACTCTTTCCTTTCCTTCTCTCTCGCTACCTCCTAACGTGCACAGTTTCCACCAGCACAGCACTGAAAGCGGTCATTATTAATCCATGTCCTGACTGATGACCCGGTATGGAAATCTCATTCTTGACAATCTGCATGTTTGATTTGACTTTGATTTGATGTCGGTCGCCCTTCATGAAACAGCCACCCTCATTTATGCAGCCACTTAACCAGAACTAGTTAGGATTATACTGGCTTGGAGTTGCTGTGAAAACTCAGACAGCAAATGAATACAGCTTCTATTGTTTTTTGGCGAGACTGCAGCTTGTTTTATTTACACACAGCAGAAGTTGCACACAGTGTGTCTTTTTCCATCCATCCACTCTCGCTTATGCAATCCAGGACAAGTGTCTGAAAGGCAGCGGCCACTCCGGACAGATCGCCAGTTCAGAATCACCAGTTAACCTAACAAACCTTTCTTTTCAGGTACACACGAAGAACCCAGGCAGACTGACATTGGATTCAAACCCAGGACCGGGACTTTGTTAAGGACAATTAAACAACCCAGGGTGCGCTAATGCTAATGCACTGACAACATTCAACCCTATTTTTAGTCTTTCAGTCTGCATCACTTTATTACTTTACTGCGAAATATTTTCATCTGACCTCATAAGAAAAACTCAAAATGACCTTTTCATGAATGAAATCTAGAGAACGTGTGTGTGTGTGTGTGTGTGTGTGTGTGTGTGTGTGTGTGTGTGTGTGTGTGTGTGTGTGTGTGTGTGTGTGTGTGTGTGTGTGTGTTATTCAAGCATTTTAGCCCAGATTAGAAATGATTAAAGCTTTTAAAGATGTCTTTTTGTACACTCTAAATACTGCACGTCTATGGACACAGAAATGATCATTTTTATGCATAAGAAAATATTGTGAGCACAGTTTGGGTGAAGATTCGTTTTGAGGCATGGATATGTGATGGAAAGCACACAAAATGGGCAGTGTGCAAAATTCAGTCTGGCCATTTCTGCACAGATTACAGATGCCTTCTGCAATCCTTTTACCTCAGAATGGAGCTAAACCTGTTTTATTCAAACCCTCCAGATGGTGAACACAAACTGTAGGTGTTTAATAAAGACACACCAAATGGGTTATTTTGTTCATTTTTAACTATTTTATGCATCTTCACAAGAAAAAGCACCAAAATGAAACCACTGGGGTGAGTCACTTTTGATGTATTCAGAAATAATTTTGTGCATCTTCATGAAGTCTGGAAATGTGTGTTTACAGATGCTTAAGCACATAAAATGGGCTGTTTTTAAAATGCAGTCTGGGTGTTTTCCTCTTATACATGATGACACAGGCTGAAATAATTACATCTTCAAAAAAAGGACCTTCAAAGTGGGTGTTTTTTTTTGAAGACTCCTACATTTTTGATGAATCTTAATGTTGTAAGACTACAAATGGTCAGACACACAAAATGAGAGGATTTTTGAATGAAGTTTGGTAGCAAATTGATTCGTAATCATTATTCCAAACTGCAAATGTTGAAGGACATAAAAAATGAAAATCATTAAGCAGTCTAGAATAACTTTAAACATGTTTAAATCCATCAGATTTGTTCTTTTTTCCCCCCAAAGGTCTTGAAATTATTTCAATTACGTGAATATTCAGTTCAGATGTGCCAGGCTGAGAAAACGAGCTGTGTGTTCTCACAAAGCCTCGTTCTTGGATTCATCAAATGTTTGGCACGGCATGTTCCACCTCAAGGTAAAAACAAGGAACAAAACATCCTCAGGGAGGAAGGGGTAACATGCCATCAATAATGCAGGCGCCCCTTTCAGGTGCACGCCCGTGTGCCTGCTCTCGTAATGACAACCTCAAAACGTTTGAAAAGGCATGGAGGAAACAGGAAACCCAGCGAGCGATTATAAGCAGAGCCGTCAAAGGCGTGACATCTGATGGGCTCCAGGCTGCGTGATGGACAGGGGACGTGCCAGAGCTTCCTGAAGCGTGCCGCGGTAACGGGAGCCTGCTGGGATCACTCACTTTCACTCAATTTACTATTCCCATTAAGCTGCATTCAGGTTATCGTAAATATGAGCTCCCTACTGAGGAGGAAGTTTGAGCTCTAATTTAACTCGTGGAAAAAACTGGATGTTTAAAGGGTCAGGTAACCCAAGCAGAAGAATTAAAAAGAATTATGAAAATAAATAAATAAATATAGACTGGCCACTGCCACGATGGTTTGTCCTGGTAAACATGCCTTTTATCTGAGTTTCATTACAAAAATTAATGATGTACTTTAGGGAATATTCTGATTGTTTATTAACAATTTAATACTCTAAGTATTCTTTTTATTAGTAGCAGTATTTATAGTATCCAAAATGTTCCTTTAATAGGATTGTATCTGATGACTTAAAGTTGGACTTTCAATACCGTGTAGGCGACCATGGATCACTGATTATGTTCATGGATGCATGTAAACTCCCGTCCCCAAGAAATAGCAGATCTGTGAGCGTAGCTTTGAAATGCCACCAGTTTACATCAGCGACCCAGAATGCAATGCAAAATAACAGCAGCCTTCGCGGGTCAAGTTATGTATTAAGAATTTAAAAACTTTGAAACGATGAAAACATTAAGACCTACAAGCTGAAACAGTCTAGCTTCATTTTTAACTAAAACAAGACTGGGTTTGTAGTTTTAAATTTGTAGTGTCTGAGTTTAAAGTAAAGGAACTTATTTAGTATTCACAGTATTCATGTTGAAAGTGGAAGTACAATAATACTCTACATTAAGATAAAGTGAAAGTGCTGAAAGTGAAAACACAGCACCGTAAATAGAAATATGAATCTCAAACTGCAGAACAGCAGCTTTGACCTGAAATCAATCTTTTACGTATAAGAGAACGAGTTTGTTACTTCTTCATAATGTTGCACAGTTTTGATTTATGGGATAACAACTGGAAATACAGTGACCTGATATAAGTAAAAGATTTCATCACCTGTTGGTTTCTCAAAGAGTCAAAGTTAGTGTTCTGGCCACCAGAGAGCATGGAGTGCTAAGTTATCAGTGAAGGCTAATTAACTTGGTTAGTGAGCTGGATTCATAGACTATATTGATACAATGCTTGGACACAGATAACAGCTAATTGGTGCGACATGTTCATCCATTATCTTATCTGAAGGTGAGCAGGTGTTCCACGCTCCCCAGGAACTCTTGCCACTTCCACACAAGACAGTATGTATATATAATGTCTCCAGTAGGTTCTTCTGGATCTATCAGTGGCCGTGCCTCAGCATTGCTCTAAATACAGATCAATAAAATTCTACCATTTCACTCACCAAAACAGCAGCACAGAGATTTTGGACCGTCTGTATCAACAAGCAGACAGCGAGAAGCTACAGCCGCCTGTGTCAACACTCACCTGTCAATCAAAGAGCCCGCGACTTTAAGCCTTAATAAAATTCAAAGTGGAGGATTATAAGTAATCTTTTAAAAAATCACCCAGTGCAATGTTGCTATGAAGAAAGAATGTATCCAAACCTGTTTCCTGTAAAGTTGGACAATTTAACATGGGGGTCTATGGGGGTTGACTCACTTTAGGTGGTGGCCTCAAGTGGCTGTTAGAGGACCTGCAGTTTTTTGGTACTTCTGCATTTTCCAGCCCAGCTTGAAGATGATGAGATATTGCAGTGAAATTTTGCCCCAACTCCACATCGTCCAGACTTTTGTGATAAACCCTTTTGAACCAAAGAGCTGCAAAACCTATGAAACTCCATTTATATGAATATAAAGCACCTTGAGGCAACTGCTGTTGTGATTTGGCGCTATATAAATAAAAAGAATTGAACAGAACAGTAACTGATCTAACGGGTGTAAGGTGTTGTATGAACTTGGATTAAAGAGCTGATACTCACCATCATTGCACAGCTGATCTCTGGGACACAGCTTCTTCTCAAACAAGCAACCTGCAGACACAAATTTAGAAGATGCATAAGAATTCAAAGACAACCAGCCTATAAAACTGACTATTTCTGTCAGTTCTTCACGTTTTCCTAACCTTTGATGGCTGTTTCAAGACTTTAAGAACCCTTAAATAGGGTTATCAGTTCCAGTTTGTCACACTACAAGCAAAAAGACAAACATGAACTCATTTGCGTTTCTGTAAAACTCTTTTTTTTTCTTTTTAATTGCAGGACTCAAACAGAGCCAGAAATGAGGCAGGGAAACCCCCTGGGACAGAGAGCTACATTGTGTTGGACAGCAATATTGTGTTGCTAAGAGTCCGGATGGATCTGTGTGCATGTGTGTACGTTACAGTTGACCTTTTCCCGGGCTTAATCTGTTGCGAGGCAGTAAACAGCTGCAGACGTGAAGCTACTCGCTCTGCTCTGTTTATTTATGTGTTTGAGTTGGATATTCATTAAGGATTTATATAATCCTCTATACAGTACCCATTTATAACTTGAGAAAATGCACATTGTCATGCAGCGTACTGCCTGCGTGCCCACCAACTTAGCTTCCACCGTCTGAGCTGTCAGGACAAATAAAAATTCAGACTTTAATAGCTTTCTCAGCTCTCGAGTGACAAAATGAAACTTCCAATGTCAGAAACGGCATTCAAAATCCCACAGACGTTTGCAGCAGCTCTGATAAACACAAAGCCTTAGAACAGGGTATGGCACGTGGGTCGGTTCAGATAAGAATAGCAGAGTTATTTTCCATCAGCCCAAAAAGTTTGTGACCTAATTGTCATTAGAGGTCGGGTAGATTAGCGGCAAAGCTTCTGCAATTGCTTCTTTCATATAGGCTTTTTGTTTTTTTGTTCAGTGCTCACAAATTAAACATTTAACCTTCATTTTTAACTCATATTTTGTCAGCATCAGTAGACTGCATTGAGTTGTAAATACAAATGGCTTAAGCCACAGCCTTAAAGCTACATTCTTCCTAATGTCCAGCAGGGGGCGACTCATGTGGTGTGATTAAAGAAAAAGCCTGTAAGAAAATGGGCAAACTTCTCCCTTGATCTATGGCTTCATCAAACATTTTACTGCTGAGATAAAAGTCTCAGTTGCAAGTTTTGAGGTTAATTTTTTACAGTGCTATGTTTATATTGTAAACTGTGATTAATATAAAAAAATAGCAAATAAGTTTTGAAACCAATAAGAAATTTTTGCGAGTTATGATGTGTGCAGATCTCAGCCTCCTTAGACATGCATGCAGTAGGAGGCCCAGTCACACCGGCTACTGCTGCTTTAATGCATCGTTCCAATAAATGGCAAACAACCAAAGCTGCACATACAAATGCACATCTGCAAGCCACTTTGTGAGCCCACGCCATATATATTTCTACAGATAACAGCATCAAATAACATCAATCTTTTCTGGTGTTGTTGAACTACTTATTTTCTTTTTTTGTGTTTCAAGCTTCTGGTGTTTCCTGGTGGGAGTGTTTTTGCATCTAGCAGAGAAGACGACTGCCCACTGTGGTATTTCTGTTTTTGCTACGACTTGAGGCCAATGCCGGAGGAAACAAAAAAAAATACCATCTATAAGGAGGATGTCAGTATCACACAGCAGGAAAGCGACAATGAAACTGTGCAAAAGGACCCTTTAGGTAAATGTCAGTGTTATTTTGCTATTTTCTTAAATCCCAAGGCTTTTCTTCTGCTTCACCTTTAATCTATACAAAGTCCGCCTGAGTATTGACTACATGACGACACAAACAAGCCACCTCTGCAGCAGATATCACAGAGGGAATCTCCATTAAAGCAGAAATCTGACACAGGGCTAAACATAGAGCGGAGAGATCTCCATCCGTCCATCCATCTGTTCGCCACCCCTCTGACCAAACTCCACACTGATGACTAATCTCTGCTTTGTCCTTTCTCCACCACCCACACACCCATCCATCCATTCATCCATCCATAACCTCCTTTCGACTGTTTCATGAAGATTTCAGTCACTCAATCAGCGCCTCTGAAATGCGACGTTGCTGGCTAATAAGAAGGAATTTCAGTGTAATTAAGTCTGTAATGAGCAGAGTGATGGATGCACTGTCAAAAATCTCCACCCTGACCAGTTTGTTTAGTTTCATGTGAGGAAATTAAATTTAGTAAAAAACAACAACAATAACAACAACAACAAAAATCAAAAATCAAATCAGCTTAAAATGAGAGAAGAATAAGAAATCCACACAGAGGAGAAACCAGAACAAGAGAATAAATTAAACTATGAATTAATCATCCAGAATGGGTGGCTGATTGCCATCATTGATATGGAAGTATTAAAAAGATAAATAAATGAACTTTCAAAGTAAGTCAAACTTTTTAAAAGAGGGGATGTTTTTTAGCTTTCGTGCATCAGAAAATCCTTTTTATTTATTTTTTTACAAATGATTTGTTGATGCTTATTTCACAACATTATTTTTGCTTGTTGAGGTTTTGTTTCAAATACACAGGTAATACTATTCTTTTTAAAAAAAGACATGCTCTATTATCATTAGCTGAATACACAGACAATGAGTTAACCATAAAATACTCCTACCGAACTGAAAATTTGTAGTACTACAAAGTCTGGATTGACTTTGCTGGCGAATTGCTGGTAACGCTCTAGATGCTAAGTAGCCAGCAGGTTAATAATTACAGTGAAGGTTAGAGACACTCAACACTGCAAAAGCCTCCATCCACTTAAAGCTGCGGTAGGAAGAAACACAGCACTAAAACTTCTTGGTTACGGCAAAAATCATAATCACCATTGCCTTAGTCAATACTACATACAATCTTAAAACGTGTTTTTACAGTAGATTTTCTTGTGTCTTACTGTGCTCTGGAAAAGTCTTGAGCCACCCCTCATTTATTTGTTAGGAAAACAGGAAATAGGTACTGCATTTTATTGAAACATGTGCAAACATACATGGGAGTACAGTATATAAGAGTTCTTTCTCCCCACTGTCGCCAACTGTTTCTCGTATGGTCTTATTCATATTGAATAAGTATAATATTGAATAATATTGACTGAATATTGAATTCAATATTGAATATTGAATAATAATGAATATTGAATAATATTCATAATGAATAAGACCATATTCATATGGTCTTATTCATTCGTATGGTCTTATTCGTTGCTCGTATGGGATCGTCTGATTGTTGGGGTTTTGTCTGTGTTATTGTAGGTTCTTTACTCCAAAGTACAGAGCATTTTGAGATGACTCTTGCTGTGAGCTGGTACTGTTTAAATAAAACTAAAGTGAGGTGAAATATCCATGAAATTATGTTATGTCATGTGTGCCTAAAACGTTATGTGTGGAGAAGGCCGACATGACGACAAACTTGAACAAAAAACAAGCCTTTTATTGGGCTGAAATTAAAGGCCAAAAGGAAAGCATAAATAGAAATACTGGAATAAATAAGATAAAAATGATAAATCCAAATAAACAAGAGGAGCTTCAACACTTATCTTGATAAGAGTAAAAAGGAAGGCATGATGGTCTATACAGCATAGACTGAAAAACAGGAGGGAAATGAGACAAAATGAAAGTAATTCCTCTCAGGTGATGGTGGGTAGCCCCAGAGGTAAACCTTATAGAAAACAAGCAAGAAAATAGCCATTTATAGTAAAACAGGCAATAAACAAAAGACAGCTAACACTACAGACAGCACAAATCCTGATGGGTAGAGCCACAGCACTATTTGTGTTTTTCCTGCAATGAATAGTATTCAGCTGACTCTTCTGATACAGTGATCGCTGTTTTTACACAGGTGACTTTAGAAAAATGTCTTACTTGTGTTTCTGTTTATAGAAACAGGCACTAGGTAGTATCTCGCCTCCATCTATTTTATTCTGCTCGCTTACGGCCAATCTGTTTCTTTTTTATTAGAAGCAGAAATTTCTTAGTTCTCTGTTTCATCTCGATCACTTTCTAGCTCGCTCTGTGGCTCAGCCATCGCTCTCTCCCTTTCACTGACGCATCATCTCTGTGGACTTCATCAGTGGCACAATAAACCAAAGAGGGAAAAAAAGATCGATCGATTCTTTTGTTTTTCATCTCCTTTTTTATTTGTACTACTGCTGTTTCATATGGCTTAAAAAACGTGTACTCCTTGTAGGTTAAGCAGTGAGAGTTGAGCCCCACCCATGGCCCGTTCAGCAGCATCTCCTGCCTGGAATCAGAAGGGTGGAGCCAAGTTTAATTACAAATGCAAATCAAATTGAAAGCACTGCACAAAACAGACAGATGAATAAGGTGATATAACAGAAGGCTAAACTAGAGTCAAGTGTGGAAAAACTGCAGGACACTTATTTGGAAAACAGGTGGATGAACAATCTTTGATGGCAAGCATAGCAACTAGTGACATAGCAACTTGTAAAAAGCTTCATGGCCAAGTAAGGCTTGTTCCCTCTTTATTCCATGACAAACTGAGGAAATACAAGACCTGGATTAGTAGGTTACTGGAATTCTATAAATGATGCCCAAAAAGCAGGAAGTAAGTAAGTAAATTTATTTAATAGCACCCTTTAAGATATCCCAAGGTGTTTTGGATCAAAATAAAATTAACAACAACAAAAAAATAAATAAATGTGGAATGAAATTTTACCCAAACACTATTTTAAAAAGATGGGACTTCAGCTGCTTTTTGAGTTCACAGAGCTCACAGATCGTAGACTGGAGGGCAGAGGGTTTGAGAGAGTGGGGGCCACAAAATACAAAGGCTCTGTCACCTTCTTCAGCTTTTAGGTAAGATCTGGGAATGGCAAATAACCGCTGATCAGAAGATGCTGGTGACATATCGTTGCAAAAGTTTACTAATATATATTTTGCCAGGCACATAACACCAGAAATTTGAGTTTAATTCTAAACTTGATGGGGAGCCAGCGCAGTGAGATCAGCAGAGATGTGACACGGGAACATTTGATCTGATGAGGAACCAAAGCTAGAGACACTCCGAGGAGGTTTGGTGAGTTC